AAAAAGCTTAAGGTATAATTTTTGTCAGTTGTGAAATAGAGTGGTGGGGGAAGGTTTAACTTGAATTTGAAAACATGCTCGTAACTTAAAGTTAAAACCTGAGATTTTACGAAAATTTTTTAAAAATATTTTTTTTTTGCCGAATATCACAAAAACATTTCATTCAATTCAATTATTGTATTACATATATAAAAATGTTATACTTATTTCTAAAATATAATTATAATAAAATGTCTTAAGTGGCCTGTCTTGTGGTTTAAAAATAAAAACAATCTAAAATCAGTAAAAAGGGAATTTTTCTGGGTAATTTTTAATATCATTATTTACTTCTTTTTTAAATCTTTTAAATTTGGTTATTTCTTTTTTTTTTTTGAAGAACATAAAAGATTTTTGGGCAGAAGAATAGAAATGGGTTTTGGGTTCTGTTTTACTAAAAAATTCAACAATATTATTTAAATTTAATTTTGACAGAGTATGGGGTCTATTCTGTAACAATTCCTTTATATTTAACTTCTGTCATTATTTAAACGGATCTTTAAAATACATTAGAGGGCTTTCTTAAAGAAATCTGTTTAAATAATGATAGAAGTAAATTAACGAATACGAAACTATTTTTAAAGGCCGCCAATATTTTTAAAGGCCGTTAAATATAAAGGAATTGTTACAGAATAGACCCCTATCTCTGGTTTGCAGTATTTTTATATAAGATTTTTGTTCATGAAATATTCTTATTAAACATTGATAAATATACAGGGTGTTTCAAAAAGATTGGTCATAAATTATACTACATATTCTTGGGTCAAAAATAGGTCAATTAAACCGTACTTACTTATATATAAAAGTGCACCCAAAAATAGTTACAGGGTGTATAAGATACAAATTTAAATGAATTTTTTTAAAGTTGCTCTTAAACCGTTTAGCATTTTTTCATGAAATTTTATATGCCGTTTTAGAATACCATGACTAATAATACCGAGGAAGAGGCAATATTTTTTACTTGATTTTTATAGATTTTTGGAGGGGGTCACCACTCTTTTCTCCACTCAACTTTTTTGTAGTATAAAATTTAATTACATACGAAACGCCACTGGAATACAACATCTATTTGGAAACTTTTTTGTCTCTTAGTATTTGTTTGTAAAAAGTTTAGTTTAGACGATACAATCATTTGAAATGACAACTTAAAAATATTCAATGGAAATTCTACGTATGAAAAATATCAAAATCAAGTTTATTTTTAAATTACAAACTAATGTCATCAAAATAAAAAAAAATAATTTACCAGGTGTTTAAAATTACATTCTCCTCCTGTATACACTCACTACATAGTTTTAACAATGAAAATCGAATTTTGATATTTTTGCCTACGTATAATTTACATTGAATATTTTTAAGATGTCATTTTAAGTGGCTGTATCGTCTAAACCAAACATTTTACAAACAAATACTAAGAAAAAAGAAAGTATCCAAATAGATGTTGCATTTCAGTAACGTTCGATTTTTAATAAAATTTTATATTACAAAAAAGTTGAGTAGAAAAAGGGGCGGTGACACCCTCCAAAATCCTACAAAAATAAAAAAAATATATTGCCTCTACCTCGATTTTGTTAGTCACGGTATTCCAACACGTCATATAAAATTTCATGAAAAAATGTCAAACGGTTTAAGAGCAACGTTAAAAAAATTCATTTAAATTTTTATCTTATACACCCTGTAACTATTTTTGGGTGCACTTTTGTATCTGGGTAAGAAAGGTTTAATCGACCTATTTTTGATCTAAGAATACGTGGTATAATTTATGATCAATCTTTTTGAAACACCCTGTATATTAATCGGATATTTAGTATACTAATTTCTTTGTATATATTTGTTTGTAGAATATAACTATATATATATTTTTTTACACAGTTAGATAGAGAAAGAAAATCTTAATAGTGTGACGAAAACCGCATTTGGATTTCTCTTTTCAAACCGCACATTTTAGCAAAAATATAATTTAATGACTTGGCAATTTCTACATACCGTGAGCACAATAAGTCTTACCCCCCCTATCTAATTCGTTTCAAATTTTTTTACATGGTTGAATAGAGAATAAAACCCTCTTTCAAATGAGCTATCACTCACCACCCCATGCCATTTAAATTTTTCGAAAGGGTTGTTCCCCTCCAGTAAGGGATGAAATTAAGGGTTAACTAATCATACAAAAATGTACATTGTAGAAAACAAAAATCGACCTGTCTCGGCGATTTTCCTAACAAGACTCCAGTAACGAGTTAGTTAGGTCAATCTTGCTCTTTTTGCTAACATCATTTGATCTTCATCATCCGACCCTTGATTAAAATGGTGTTTTTGCACATCTTTTTTAATCATTTCCTCTTTCCTCGCAACTATTATTCCTTTCGTAATTGGTTTTCTGGGTTGAAGCAAAGGCTTGATTTCAGTCACTACAATCTTCCGAAATTTTGTCAAAGTTCAAACAATTGTCTGAGCAATAATACTTTGTATATAACTCGTAGTCAGTTTTATATCAAGAACTTTTACACAAAAGTCTACATAAGAGTTAGTGTAATTTTCTAATATCACTTTTCATCTATAAGAGTCTCCAATGGAAGCAAAGTTATATTTTTCTTTAACTACAATATTATGATTGTCTCTATAATTCAGTAATAATATTTTTTTGTCTGAAAATTAATTACACAATGCACATTTATCTTTTTTCAACATATTACAAGAAGTTCGTAATAAAACAATAAATAGTCCAAAATATTCGTTTCCAGTCTTCCTGTGCTACAATTTTTAATTCTGCAGTTAAGTTAGGAGCTGGATTTCGTGTACGTATGTTTCGCTTTAGCATCATGACTCATTGGTAGCCAGTCTAGTGCCTCATTCCCGACATCCTCAATGAACCGGATCACTAGCGGCATGGGCGAGGGCATTGTCATGCATTAGCACAGTCATCGTACTAATATAGTTGGCATAAGGTAAAACATGTTCTTCAAGGATATTGCGTATGTATCAATCAGCATCCATTCTTAAAGTTACATCAACAAGCTCCGTACGACTCTCTCAACTAATGCCTCCCAAAAGCATAATGGAGCGCCACCAAAGCTAACGTTTTGTACGAGATTACATTCTGCGAACGGTTCCCCAGATCTTCTGTATACTTGACCACGTCTATCTAGCTTCCACAATTGTATTCTTGTTTCATCTGTAAAAAGGATTTTTCCCCATTGTTGTTCATTCCAATCAGCATGGGCTCTTTCAAATTGTAACCGTTTGACTTTGTGACGCGGAAGAAGCTTAGGGACTCTAGCAGGACGTTTCGGATTTAAACCGACCTCCTTCAGTCATTTTATAACGGTTTTGACACTTACGTTGACTTGTCTATCAATGGATAATTAATTTCTTAGACGCGAAGCGGTAAGTGAGCGATTTCGCAAGGATTTTATTCGCAAATATCGGTCATCCCTTGGTGTTGTACATCTTTTACGTCTTTTGTATTCTCCAGTCTCATTCACTGTATCGGTTCAATACACGAGAAACAGTTGATTGATGGATATGTAATCTATGCGCAATATCTTGTTGTCTACCACCCTCACTGGCTAAAGTAACAATTTTTACAGAGTCTTACTCCGTTAAATATGGCATCTAACACGCCGAAACTACAGAAACAAGAAATAAATCAATGGAAATGTCATTCTGACAACAACAAACAAAATAGCAGTCGTAGTTAGTCGGCAAGGCACGCTATGATATTTTCGTGCTATGTTTGTAATTTACTATTACTTATTTAGTATAAAGGCTACCTCTAAATAATATTTTGTCCACAATTAAATTAAATGAAACCTCAAACCCTTTAGTGCAAAAAATCTAGCAATAAAAAACTCAAAAAGTCTTAAAGAAAAAAAAAATAAAATAAAAATAATGACTTAAAATAAAATATATAATATTTTTGTCTGTGAGTATATAATTGTACATAAATACATAGATAACTCGTATTCGTAAATCGCCGACGAGATTTTACGACTCCGAACTGATCCGACAACCTAACGTGTCGGCGGTTTCCGAATATCTAGCCGGGCTGCTCCATACTATGGAGTTGATAACCTTTTACTTTCATTCTCGAATTCAGTGCATTATTTGAAAATCCTTTCAATAATTGAGAAGTTTTTGAAAATATCTGACGTTTCTGTAATTTGCCGAGCATTGCGTTACAAATTTTGTTACATAGTGTTGTGTTCTTTCTGGAAAAGTTGATGATTTGCTTCGTAGTTCCAGCGGTATTTCTTACTTCAGAAACATCACTCAGATCATTAATCACAAGATTTAATACATGGCAGGCATAGTGACATAAAATAAAATAAATAAAATGAAAATAAAATTAAAGTTGTCGTAATTTTTTGCTAACCATAATAATTAGAAACAGCCTAACTACGCCTTGACGGTATTATTTTAGTTTGGAAATCAGAGTTCAATTTGTGACATCTAACCGTTATTTTAAAACTTTAAAATAATGTAACCCACCAATTACACGATAATGTAAAATTACATTCTATTCACAGTTAAAGATTTGTCACTAAAAATAATCTTCCATAATCAAATAATCCTAAACTATTAATAAATACTCAAATAATAAATTGAAAGAAGCTTAATTGCTTAAATATTTGTAGTGAAATTTAACTTTTACCCCCAACATTCCTCTTTTCTATGGCCACCATTGTACATTTTTGTTGTAGATATTTTAAAAAGCAAATATCTCAGTTACTATGTTGGAGAAAATTTTGAAAAACATCAATTTAGTCTAGATTTTTATACTTTCAACGTTATCTAGAAATCACATTCTAACCTAACTTTTTCAATTGTTATTGTCACTTCTGTTACATTTTTTAGGTTAATTTTTTATTATTTTCCTGTGCTATGTGTTACACTCGACTATTTTTTACTCTTGTCTAAAATAACTGAAAAATTTGTTTAGCAAAAATATGTAACTTCTAACTTACCTATTATCTTACTGCTAAGTTGCCTCAACCATCTCACTGGGTACTTATAATTGGCTGAAATCAGCACTGGTAATACCAGAAATGAATAACTAGCTAGACACCAACCTCCGAGGCTTAAGAGTAAGGGAGCGTGGTTTCTGGAACAATACGGCAATAAAAGAACCACAGACAGGAGACATACTGAAAAAAAAAATACAAAAAATTACAGATGATATAACTATATACAATAAATATTGATTAAAAATGATATCCAAGATTAAATTTAAGCTTTCTGTTACAAATGAAACATTTTCTAACGTTTATAAGGAAAATAAATGAAAAACCCTGTATATATTTCTTTCAATTAATTAAAATTGAGTATCGTTATGCAACAAAATGAAGAATTACACGTTGCAGATTTATAAGTTAAATTTTATTTTTACAAAGAAACCCAGGAAGTGTTTTACAGCTACTTTAGTAGTTAGTAGGTAGTAATTTTCTTAAATTTTATGTCACTGTCTTTAAGAAAATTATTTTAGCGTTTACACAGTCGTCACAAGAACCGCTGAAGAAGGCTTGCAAGTATTTGAGTTTTTCTTTCGTAAAAGATAAAAAAAAGTAAAGTTAGTGCGCCTAATATTTCTTAATTTGTAATATTATCCAGATTGAAATCTTCGCTTTATAAATAAAATTTCTAAATCTTTAAATATATTAATTATAATTAAAAAAAAAAACTGTTGCGAAATGCCTTATTTTGTAAGGTATTACATACAATATTTTTCTAATTTTGACTATATTATTTACAAAATTGTGTTTGGTAAAACTTTACTAACATATATGCAACAAATATTACTTTCGTGCATTGGTAGTTGCATAACTGTACTTATTATATTGGCATAATTAGAAAAATTGAAAATCATATAATATATTTTCAACCACTTGTTGTAGCTTGCTTTTTAAAATTATTTAGTTTGAAAGAAAGTGGGTTATTTTGTCGTGTACTTATTGTGTTTAGATTATTCTGTTAATGGTGAGCTGCTTGTACCGACAAGTTTGTACAGTACGTATTGCAATACCCTGTATACCTATGATTCTATTTTGTTATAATGAGAAAATTTTACGTCTGTACTAATAACCTCACGCTGAAAACTGAACCTTTAGACGGCTCCAAAAGCCAGAAATATTCAGGAGTAGGTATATATATAGTATCAAACCAAAGACAAGAATCTCACTGAGCTTAGGAAATCATGCCATAGTATTCCAGGCAGAAATAGTAGTAATACGTCACTAAGCAAAATAAGAAGAAAATGGAAAAACTATTGGCATATACTCAGACAGTCAAGCGACGTTAAAAGCACTCAGTTTTATGCAGGTACAGTTAAAGCTTATGTGGGACTGTTTGGAAGCCCTAACAGAGCTGGGTAGTCAGAAGAGACTAACCTTAGCTTGAGTACTAGGCCACAGAGGACATAAGAGCAATGAAGAGGATAATTTACTAGCCCGAGAAGAAACCTCAAAGGCTCTTATTGGCCCAGAACCCTTATCTGGTGTCACAAAGACAACTATCAGAATATGCACAAAACAGTGAATGTTTAAAAAATCTCAGGACTGGAAACTCGCATTGGTCAAAGACTTCTTAAAAGAACCATCGCCTAAACCGAGCACCTACTGAGCCTTAACAGGAAAAACACTAGAGTACTAGTAGGTCTATTAACAGGGCATTGTAGGCTTAACGAACATATGTTTAATATCGTTCTGACAGAAGAGATCTTGTGCCGATTCTGTCAGAAAACGGCAGAACACGTATTGTGTTTCTGCGAAGATCTAGCAAGACTGAGATTCCTTAGATTTGGAGAAGAAAAACAAAGGGCAACTATTAATACCAGAGAACTACTTCTCAGTCTATGGAGTCTACTACAAAAAACCGAATTAGACAAGGTACTCTTAACAACGATTAAAGGATATCCACAATAGATCTGAAAAGGTCGAAATGAGGGGGAGACCACATAGCCGACGGTCCTAATTGAATCTAATCTAACCTCACACTGTAAGGAAACTAACATATCCTTTATAATAGAATAGATATTTGTGTATTAAGAGCAGAAAGTAGCACTTTGGCACTTGACACAGAAAGTAATGTATCAAGTCTGCCAAAGGACTTGCTGCTCGAATTACACACAAGATTTTTTTACGATCACACCAAAATAAAATATTAATTCAATTAATTGTCGAGCACACAAAATTATTTACAAAATTTAAATCACAATACACTAACTCTGCAGCTTTCTTAGACTTCGTCCTACTTGATTCCTAAGTTTTTTGTATGTTGTGTTGCCTATAGGTTACATACTATTTAATTTTAGTACTTATATGTCGATAATTAATTATGGGACGCCTAGCTTTCTCGGTATTTATTTCCACCTGGCCAAAACTGTCGGTATATTGTAACTATTGTGTTGATAGTAATTTCCTTGCAAATAATATTTTTATTTATTACTTCGACAAGGGATTCGAAAGTTTTCTTTCTTCATCTAGTGGAATTATGATTAACTACATTTAAATTGATTTTATTTATATTCTAAGGTGAAGTAGTAAAGGATTTTTATACGTATGATTATTGATCGTATTTTTTGTAAATAAAGTTGTTACTATTACTAATATTCGATATTATACACTTGGTACCCGCGCGAAAGCTTTGGAAGGCTTCATTTAAGGCATATTAAAAGTAAGAAACTGATTTTTGGAAAGTGCTTAAATATACAGTGGTATATAATATAAAATATATTTTTTTTTAATAATCGCATCAATCTCACAATTAGTGTGTAGCGTATGGGAAATTTTTTTTAAAAACTATTTTATCGTGCCCATGTATATTTTATTGTACATAATATATCTGTTTCGTTTTAATTTCATAAAAAATATATTGTATTGGTTTTATCTTTTCTTCGTTCACTGAAAGTAAAAATAGGTGAAAATAAATTAAATACTTAAATAAAAACAAAACTTTAATTACCTACTATTTTTAATGAAACATTTTATTTCACATAACAAAATACAATCACAAAAAAATAAGTTACATCAATTTTGTCTTACAATTTTTTTTATTAAATATTTTATGTAAAAATCAACTAACTTTGGTTCCAAAAATTGTCATCTCTCTAAATTTTCTCAACGACCATTCCTAGTGGGGTCCAAACTATAAAATAACAATATTTGGCTTTCGTTATAGCCAATTGTCCTTGTACCTGATAATAATAATCACCTTTTTTTTTTAATTTAATTTGGCCATCTGTATTAGCTAGATATTACATTTTTTTTCTTGAATTTCCATTTCTGGTGTCAATTTGGAACAAGAATATGGACATTTAATTACAATTATTTTATTATTATTAATAATGCCATCTGAACTTGCTCCCAAGTATGAATGTTTTTCATTCATAAATAATTTACATTCTTGTACCGTTTTTCCATATTTATTTTTAAAGTCTTATATTGTAATAGATTCGGGATCTTGTGCCCATTTTGTAGCAACTGATCCGTAAAAAGATGAAAATAATATGTTATTAACATTCATTTTTTGCTTAATTTCCAAAAAATTTGTTCCGAAACATCGTCATCATCATCATCGCATTGAAGTCCGTAGTCCCTATCTCTAGGTGCTCCACTTTTGCGTTTTTTTAATTGCGGGCCCCTAGCTTTTCTACTACATCTACGTTTGCTCATTTGAGTAACCAATCTTTGTGTGTGAATCTCAGGAACACTTTCTAACATCTTTTTATAAAGAGTGGAAATATAGTTCTTTTTTTATTAAAAGAAATAGCTGCAGCTGTATACCGAATATTATATTCTCCTTTTACTGCAAAATTAATTCTCTTTTCTCCAACAAATTTGGCTACGATTGAATTATATGTCTCTGCGGCATTATTAGTCATGGTAAATGATAAACTGTGGCTGTTTTGAATCAGCCTGAACGGGTGGCACTCCTCGAACATGTGGGGTTTAGCAACTGTAGCACAGGTAGAGTTAGGTATTGCTTTATGAAAAACGAAGGACCAGGATTTCTACCAAAAATATATTTACAAACGTGTACAAATCAACAGATTCTAAAAGTTTACATAACTTGCCTAAAAAAGCAACGGAATGCGTGAAATTACTTTTTATTCGACGTTATGTTTCAATGACTTTTTTATGACATCTTTTATCTACTATGTTTTTTTTATACAGGGTGTCTGTAAAAGGTCTTTACAAAAACATACCACATATTTCTTAGACCAAAATAAGTCGATTTAGGTAAAATTACCTTGGTACAAATTTGCTTCGTTTGGGCTCCAGAGGACCTTGAAGTTACAATTTTTAAATCGTTTTTCGCATATAAATTTAAAACAGTATATGCGATTTTACTGAAATTTGGTATATTGGTAGAGTTTTATGTGGCAAAAAAAATGGTATTAAAATTTTGTTCGATAATAATACATAGGCGTAGAACTTGATTTTTTTAAATAATTGTACCCTTAAAAATTTTACGCCAATGAAAGAAAAGGAGTTTGAGTGTGAAATTTAGATTGCGCAACTCATTTACTTTATAAAAGGTACTCTTGATAAGACTCGATTACTCTCATGGTTTTGACGAAATTTGCATTTTAGTAATTTTAGAACAATAATTAATAAAATACAAACTTTGTCAAAACCATGAGGGTAAATTGAGTGTTATCAAGGGTACTTTTTTGCAGTAAATGAGTACCCAATCAAAATTTCATACTCAAACCCCTTTTCTTCCATTGGCGTAGAATTTTTAAAGGTGCAATTATTTAAAAAATCAAGTTCTACGCCTATGTATTATTATCGGACAAAATTTTATACGATAAAAAACATAAAAATGTACTTTTTTCATATCTTCTTCAACACCTCTAATCGAGACTTTTAACAAAAATACTCGATTCTTGCCATGTACGATTTTTTGAGGAATATTAATTATTTGCCTGCAATACGTATATAAAAACATTTATTGTTGGTTTCCATAGTTTCATCTAAATAAAAATATTGTCAAGTTTTAACACCTAATCTCTTGTTAACGATTGAAAGTGTTCTATCTGACTCAAAAATTAAAAAAACAAATGCGTGGTTTATTAATATGGCTGTACAATATACCAATGCAGAATATACCGATATGTTACTGACATTAGGATTTTGTAAAGAAAATG